ACAGTGATACTCAGATCCCATTTAGGACCAAATGCCAGACAGCTGTGTGGTACTGAACCTTGATAATTTTAGGCAGCAAGACTTGGGCGGGGATGTGGGATTGAAAGAGTGATAGAACTACAAGTGGAAGTGGGAGGAAGTAATCACCAGGCAATAAAACACTCTATTGTAAACGTTAGCATATTATTTAGGCAAAAAAAACTCTTAATGGGAGTTATAAATATCCCAGGAGCAGTCAGGGCTAATCACCACCCAAGCATTGTCGTTTGTGTCCTTTGAGCAACCCCAAACCATGATCGCTTCTATGACTAGAGTTTTAGTGAGTAGGGAGAAGTAGGGTAAACAGAATAATTTGGATAATTGGGAAAGGAAATGCCTCAATTGGCAGAGGGCCTAAGGAAGAAGGGAAAAAATAGATTAAATTTTTACTCCCAGGCAACTCACTACCTTTGTCTTATTTTGCCTTTTTCTTCTAAATTTTCTATTTTCAGTCTTGGAGAATTTTTGAACTGCAAGGGAATCTCTAGAGTAGGGATGGCAAATATTGCTTAAATCCTGTATGCCTCCTGATGTGTGGTACTGAGGAGTTTAATGGGAAAGCATGCCTTGGTCAGTTAGTAGTGCCTCCCTCCCACAGCTAAGGAGAGGATTGCCCAGCGAGTCTGTTCCCTGCAGTGCCTCCTACACTTGAGACTGAACAAAAGATAAATGGGTTATCTAGGGACTGGTTATATGATAAATGCTATGATGTTTAATTATATATAAAAATACTTAACTGACATTTTTAACTGGCAGCCTTTAAATGTCATAACTCAAATGACTTCTGGTTCTGTCTGTCCATTTAACTTGACATTTTTAATTGAAGATTGTTATACTATCAAGGCCTTCGTTGCAGCAGCCCTGTTTTGCCCTTGAAATGGGATTTATGCTCAGTGCCTTAGCTTCTCTTTAGCGCATCTAGTTTCTTATATTTACTTTTTTTCTATTAATTGACTTCTTAGAGCAATGTTAGGTTCACAGCAAAATGGAGAAGAAGGTACAGAGATTTCCCATATGTCCCCTACCCCCACACAAATCGTAGCCTCCCCATTATCAACATCCCCACTAAAATGGTACATTTGTTACATTTTTTTTTAAGATTATTTTTTTGTTTTGTTTTGTTTTTAAAGATTTTTATTTGGAAATTGGGGAATGGGAACAGCGCTGAGGAATTGGGGGAAGGGGAACAGACAAGTTACTGTCCTTTTTGTTCTTCAGTCTAGTTGTAGAAGACGTTGCTTCCCTGGCCCAAGTTGGCACCATCATTGCGCTCTTCCCGGGTGAGGCAGATCAGTCGCCGGCTTCTGGACGGCCGCTCATGGCGGCTGCTGGCCGCTCACGCTGGCTGCTGGCTACACATGGTAGCCCATGGCAACCCACTGCAGCAGTGGCTGCAGCCTATGCCCTCACCGGCAACAGCCCAGCTCCAGGTTGAGCTGTTGTTCAGCATCTTACCTGTAGATGGCAGTGTCACTGGCCCTCATATGTGGGATCCGAACTGGGGCCCTCTGGCGTCCCAAGCCAGCTCTTAACCACTGCGCCACTTGGCTGGCCCTACATTTGTTACATTTGATAAGCCTACATCAACACACCATTATCACCCAAAGTCCATGGTTTGCATTAGGGTTCACTCTTGGTGTTGTACATTCTTTTGGTTTGGACAAATGTATAATGACTTATATCCACCATTTACAATACCATGCAGAGCAGTTTTATAGCCCTCAAAATCCTCTGTGCTCCGCCTATTCATTTCCCACCTCCCCATCCCCTGATCTTTTTACTGTCTCCATAGGTTTACTTTCTCCAGAATGTCATATAGTTGGAGTCATACAGTATATAGCCTTTCAGATTGGCTTCTTAGTATTATGCGTTTAAGTTTCCTCCATGTCTTTACATGGCTTATTAGCTCATTTCTTTTTTCTTTTTTTTTTTAGATTTTATTGGGGAATTGGGGAAGGGGAACAGCCAAGTTGTTGTCCTTCAATCTTAGTTGTGGAGGGCACAGCAAGCTCAGCTCCAAGTCCAGTTGCGCTGCTCAGCTCACGGTGCTGTGTTCAATTAGTTTCGAGTGGGTGTAGCCACCATCACATGCGGAAGTCGAACTGGCAGCCTTGTTGTTATGAGCGCACACTCTATCCCCTGAGCCACCCGGGCAGCAGCTCAGCTCAAGGTGCTGAGTTCAGTCTTTAGTTGCGGGTGGGCATAGCCCACCATTCAAACCGGCAGCCTTGTTATTAAGGAGCACATGCTTTCACCAGCTGAGTCCTCCTGTCACCTGTTGGCAGCTCAGCAGCAGCTCAGCTCTGGGCGCAGTGTCACTGGCCCATGCGGGAATCGAACTGGTGACCCCGTTGCTCAGAGCTCACACTCTTGGGCAAGCTCTTAACTGACTAAGCCACTCGGCCGGCCCTCATTTCTTTTTAACACTGAATAATATTCCATTGTCTGAATGTACCACAGTTACTTATCCATTCACCTACTAAAGGACATCTTAGTTACTTCCAAATTTTGGCAGTTATGAATAGAGCTGCTGTAAACATCCATGTGCAGGTTTTTTGTTTGGACATAAGTTTTCAGCTCCTTTGGATAAATACCAAGCAGCATGATTTCTGGATTGTATGGTAAGAGTATGTTTAGTTTTGTCAGAAATCACCAAACTGTCTTCCAAAATCGCAATACCATTTTGCATATCCACCAGCAATGAAAGAGAGTTCATCCTCACATCCTCACAAGCATTTGATATCAGTGTTCTGGATTTTGGCTATTCTAATAGGTATGTAGTGGTATCTCATTTTTGTTTTAATTTGTATCTTTGATGGCATATCAGTTAGAGCATCTTTTCATATGCTTATTTGCCATCTGTATATCTTCATTTTTTGTTTTTTATGTCTTCTTTGGCCCATTTTTTAATTGAGTTGTTTGTTTTCTTAATGTTTTAAGAGTTCTTTGATATTTGGATAACAGTTCTTTATCAGATCTTTTGCAAATATTTTCTCCTCCTCTGTGACTTGTCTTTTTATTGATAGTATCTTTTGCAGAGCAGAAATTTTTAATTTTAATGAAGTTTAGCGTATCAGTGCTTTCTTTCATGGATCATGCCTTTGGTGCCATATCTAAAAAGCCATCTAGGTTTTCTCCTATGTTATCTTCTAGGAGTTTTATACTTTTGCATTTTACATTTAGGTCTGTGATTCATTTTGAGTTAATTTTTGTAAAAGGTGTAAGGTCTGTGTCCAGATTCATTTTTTTTTACACATGGATATCCACTTGTTCCAGCACCATTTGTTGAAAACTGTCTTTTCTCCATTGTGTTGCCTTTGCTCCTTTGTGAAAGATGAGTTGACTATATTCATGTGGGTCTATTTCTGGGGCTCTCTATTCTATTCCTATCTATTTTTTCTCCAGTAGCTTTACTGTAGCTTTATAGTAAGTCTTGAAGTCAGATAGTGTCAGTTTTCCAGCTCTGTTCTACTTCAATATTGTGTTAGCTATTCTGGGTCTTTGCCTCTCCATAAAAACTTTATAATCAACTTGTCAATATCCACAAAATAATTTGCTGGGATTATGGTTGGATTGCATTGAATCTACAGATCAAGTTGAGAAGAACTGACATCTTGACAATATTGAGTCTTCCTATCGATGAACATGAAATATCACTCCATTTATTTTTCATTATGTAGTTACTTTTTTTTTTTTTAAGATTTTATTGGGGAATTTGGGGAGGGGAACAGCATTGGGGAATCGGGGAAGGGGAACAGACAAGTTGCTGCCCTTTTGTTCTTCAGTCTAGTTGTGGAAGACGTCGTTTCACTGGCCCATGTTGGTATTATCATTGTGCTCTTCCCAGGTGAGGCAGATCGGTCGCCAGCTACTGGACGGCCACTCATGGCAGCTCTGGGCAGCTCACACTGGCTGCCGGCAGCTCATGGCGGCTCTTGGCAGCTCACGCTGGCTGCCAGCCACTCACGCCAACTGCCAGCCACTCACAGTAACTTATGGCAGCCCACTGCAGTTTAACTGCAGCCTACGCCATTGCCAGCAACTCACGGCAGCCCAGCTCCAGGTCGAGCTGTTGTTCACCATCTTAGCTGCAGAGGGCAGTGTCACTGGCCCGCATGTGGAATCCGAACCAGGGCCCTGCTGCTCAGAGCTGGTGTCCCAAGCCAACACTTAACCAACGTGCCACTCGGCCCATTATATATTTACTTGTATTTAATCTGTTTTTAAAAGGCAATTTTCTGAGTTATTTCAGAAGTGTTTTACAGAGTTTTCCTGTCCTCTTGGATTCATTTACTATTGTTCCTTTTTATATTTGGGTTTCAAAGAGCTTTTTCCTCTCCCTTTTTAATATCCATGATGCTCAGCCAATTGTGATTTCTGGTATTGCATAGCAAAATTTTTCTTAGAGTTAACTTAAATTACCTGGTCTGCGTAGATCACATCTGTACTACAATACAACTGATTCCTGAGAAATTAGTGCAGAAAGTCTTATTGATCATATAAAGAAATACAAGAGAATTATAGTGCATAATCTCTGCCCTCAAGGCTTATAGTCTGGTTAAAAAACTAAAAATAAACCTATAAAAAATATGACATTTAGATAATAATTCTGTTAGGTCATAGAAGAACACATGATTAATATAAACAGACAATGATGACTTTGTAATTTAGAGAAGGGAGTGATTTACATTAGCAGGTTAATCAGGGAAAACTTTATTGGGCTCATGAAATTTGAACTTAGTTCTGAAATATGAGTAAATTTTAGATAAAAGAGAGACATTAATTCAGATTTCTTGTGGATGAATTTCACAATACTTTGTCCCTTCATTTTTTTCTTAAAATGTTTATATGAACTATTTCCTTTTAATTATATTTTCTATCCAATGTAGTTATAATAAACACTTGAAAGTGTTTGACATATCAGTTGCCTTCAGTTTTCTGTTTCTGTGTTTTTGTCACAGGCATCCTAGTTTTCAGCTGCTACAGAAAGGAAACAGGTATGGTTGAATCAGTATCACTTACCTCCTATATATTCATGTTAATAGAAACATTAAGAGGAAACCAAGTGATATGAGCTCTTGGACTTCCTGTGCTCATGCATTGTGTAAGTGCCCATTCTAGTCCACACAAAGAAATGTTTGCCTTGTACAGCTTTTTCTTTTGTGATGGTAAGGTGACGTGTTTGATCTGTATGATTTATTGTACAGCTGTTTCTACCGAGGAAGTCTAATTGAACCTGTTGAAATATGACACAAACATAGCCTCCATCTGAGATATTGTGCTACTTTGTCAACTAGATTGTACCAATTATATTTGTTGAAAGGTTTTTATAGTCTTATTTTTTTGGATTTCAAAACAGTAATGTATCAATTATTTAATTATTTGAAAGAGTGTCTAAAGCATTAATAGTAATTCCAAGTTGTGTGTTTTTCCTAAACTCATGCTATTGCTTGCCCAACTATGATCATCTCTCAAAACACATCCTTTATATCCCAGAATAAATTTTGCTGGTTATTAGTCACTACTTTAATTAGACTGGAGCACAAGTAAGAGATATTTATTTATTGATGTATATCTGTAATTTATAGTTTTCAAAGTTGTATAAAAAATATAATTACCTTTAAATTCCAAGAGGAAGTATGAAATATATGAAAGTTTAATTGTTCTAATATTTTTGAAATTATACTTACAAGAGACAAGTCCCATTACTATATAGGCTAGATTCTAACTAAAAAATACCTAATACTGAATAAACTTGTCATCTTTTCTCCATTTCAATCCACAACCTTACTTTCAACTGTTCGTTTTTTTCTTCTTCTTTTACACACCCTCCCTCCCCAACCCCAGCATGCTTCTTTTTTTTATTGCTGCATTATTTTATTTTTAAAAATGATTTCTAAATTTAATAGCCTTTTTGGGGAAGCATTTTTAGATTTGCAAAAAAATTGTGTAAAAAGTACAGAGTTCCCATATACCCTGTCACTACCCTCTACATATGTGCTTCTTGGCCCAGAATCCTTCTCATCTTTTAAAGTTCTGATATGTGCATTTGCTTGATAGTAACTGCTCACCTACTTCTTTGTCTCAAGTTTTCATAGACAAAGCTACTCTGCCTTCACTCTTTCATAATTCTTAATTTTTTTAAAACCTAATCTGAAAATTGAAGAACTGTAGTCAAAGGGAAAAACTGTTGTCTTTTATTGTTAGCATTATGTTGTAACTCTGGATTTTCAAATATAAATATCTTTCATTGATAAATGTTGACTTGCCAACTTTATTTTCCTCTGTAACGTTCTTGTATTTTTCATTCTGTGGAATTTTCTGTATAACTATCAACCAGAACTGGAAAATACTTAAACATCTCTTATCTATCAAAGCCTAAAGAGTTCCTATTATTTACTTTTTTTTTTTGAGAAACCACTAATGAAGTTTTCAAAAGGAAGCCATTTTTTAAAAAAGGATATATAAAACAGGCACAGAAATGGAGTAGGCCAAAATCAGAATAATTCAGTAGGATGGAATTATCCAGTGTGGTTTTTTTTTCCTTTTTGCTGTATTCTTTTAAATAATTGGGGAAAAAAGACAAGAAGAGAAGAGAACTATATCAAATAAGTAAGATGTAGAGAAAATATGGAATTATAGCTTTCTGAAGTGTGTGTGTGTGTGTGTGTGTGTGTGTGTGTACATGCTTATATAAATATAAGCTTGTAAGTAAGGCTTTGCCTAGGAAATAAAATTTTCTACCTTGAAAGGTACAAAGTATAAATACTGGGGGACATTCTTTTCTGTTATAGTTATTTTGTTTCTTTCCTTCTACAGTGGCCATTCTGGCGAAGAAGTACAGTTACGCAGTGAGGCCATTAAAACATCAGATATTGACAATCCTGGCGATTTTAAGAAGCAATATGAATCTAGTTCTTCTAGCACTCATAGTGATAGTAGCAGTGATAATGAGCAAGACTTTGTTTCCTCCATTCTACCAGGAAACAAACCAAATGCAACGGGTATAAGGCCACAGCTGCACAAAATAAGCATAATGAAAAAGAAAGCTGGTCAGAAAGCTAACTTCAAGCAAGAAGACAAAGAACAGACAGTAATAGAAGTCACTGAGCAGTTAGGCAATTGCAGATTAGATAATCAGGAGAAAGCTGCTGCTTGTGAACTTCCTTTACAGAAAGTAAATACTCAGATTTCTTCAAGTAGTTCTTTGAGACAAAAATTAGAGGCCTCAGAAATTTCTGAAAATAAATACAGTAGTTCAGAAATAACTCTCGTAGGCATAAGTAAGAAAAGTGCTGAGCATTTTAAGAAGAAATTTGCCAAATCAAACCAAGTTTCTAGGTCATCTTCTAGTTCAGTGCAGGTGTATCCTGAAGTTGCAAAGGCAAACTTAATTAAGGTTCTGAAGGAGACTTTCATTGAGTGGAAGACAGAAGAAACTTTGAGGTTTTTGTATGGCGAGAATTATGCGTCTGTGTGTCTGAAACCGTCTTCAGCCCCTCTGGTTAAAGAAGAAGAACTTGATGAAGATGACATAAACTCTGACCTAGATAGTCATTCCCCTGCCTTACAGGAATCTCAGGACAGCTTAGATGAGTCTTTGCCTTTTAGGTCCTCAGATACAGCCACTAAACCACTGCCAAGTTATGAGAACTTGAAAAAAGAAACTGAAACATTAAACCTAAGGATCAGGGAATTTTACAGAGGACGATATGTTTTAAATGAAGAAACCACCAAATCACAAGACTCAGAAGAGGTATGTCTTCATGATGATGAGTTTTCCATGCTGCTAACATATGAAATACTCACCGTCGAAAATCATGGAGCAGGAAGAAAAATACTGAAGAGAATTGTTAAGTTTTTAGAAGGCTTCTTTAGTCAGTCAGTCTTTTGGTTTAAAATGCCATCTCCAGTATTGGCATTACTGCTTTTCCAAATAAGTTGAAGTTTGCCCCTGAAAATTTTCATAAATGTGGAACATTTTTCTCTAATGTAGAAATAGCCTAGAATTGTGGGACAAAGTTTTCTTTAAACCTAGTCCTTCATTTAATATGTAGGACCTCTGAACAGACTTGTTTTTTTTGTTTTTGTTTTTTATTGGCATGTATGTTTTCAGATTTCTACATGGGGTGCGTATCTTTGTATCTTATTTTCAATGGAACTGTATGCAGTGGAGTAGACTTACTAGTTGAATGGTAAAATATTTGTTTGGCTAATATTTGGCAAGCATACCCATTTAAAACATTATAAATGAAAATAACATAGTAAAGGAGACTTATTAGGAAATAATGGACATAGGAGAAAATGGAAAGAGCACATTCAGGTAAATCTAGATTTTAATATCTGCTATGTCATTTACTAGCTGTGTGAAAAGTTAGTTTCTTGAGTTTGGTTGCTCATCTGTAAATGGGACTGACTATATAAATAGCTTCCCTTGCTCAATTGTAATGAAATAATGTAAAGCATTTATCACAGTGCCTGACATATAATTGGTACTCAGTAAAGAGTAGGTTTATGTAGAGACTGAATGTATGCCACTGAGATTGGGGGAGATTTTTTAGTATTTCTATTACCCATTTTTGGTTGATGTGTAGTTCGGGAAATGAAGTCATTTGGCATGAAGAGGAGTAGGCGATAACCTTGTTTTTACCACAAAACTTTGTTACTAAAGATTTCAGAGTAAATGTACCTCTAACTTTAAGAACACATTTGGAGATTTAGAAAGAGGGTGAAAGTGGAAATATAGTAAAAATTTAGAAATTTCTTATATTTCTACAGAACGTTAACCTGGCCCGGTACTATATTTGAAATTACGTCAATTGTATTATTAGACAGCATCCATAACTTTCATATTAAGCTTAGGGGAAACATTGATCTCTGTCAGCCAACTGCATAAGCCTACTTTAGTACATCACTTGTTTTATCACTTTTGCACCTACAAGCAGTAAGAAGGAAAAATTAATCCATGAAATTTGACTGTTAACTCTGTTACATAACATTTTAAAACTTTTTCATTGAAGTATTAGGTTGTTGGAAAAGTCATGACGCATTTTTGCAACGAAAAACAGAAAAAATATGTCATGACTTTTTCGACAGCCCAATATAACACAAATAGTGTACAGCTCATTGAATTACAACAAATGAACACTACCCAGGCCAAGAAATTTGAGTAAACCAGAGCCCTACTATGTCTCCTCCTGGTCACTACCTCTTTTCAAAATGAATGACTGTTTGAATAGCATAGCTACGTTTTGCCAATTTTGAACTGTATGTAAATAGATTCACATAGTATATATTCTATGGTGTGCAATTTGTATCATGCATCATTATATTCGTGAATCATTTGTGTCGTTACATATAGCTCTAGTTCATTCTTTCATTGCTGTGTAGTATTCCATTATAGAAATGTACCAGTATTTATATTAATGAGTATTTAGGCTGTTTCAGTTTGGGGCTATTATGAACTATGCTGTTATGAACTCTCTTATATGCCTCGCCTAATGTGCGTGCATTTCTGTTGGGTATGTACCTAGGACTGGAATTTCTGGGTCATAATGGATGAGTATGTGCAATTATACTGGATAATGCCAAATAGCTTTCCAAATTGGTTATGCCAGTTTATTTTCCACTACCACTATATGAGAGTTTCCATGAGTACTCATTCTCACCAATACTTGATATTGTTACTTTTCACCATTCTGGTCATGTTGCTTTTTGGTTATATTTCTCTTGTGATTAATGAGTTAAGCACTATCTTATTTGTTTATGGATCATTTGGATAGCCTCTTGTGAAGTGCCACATTGAAGTTTAAGAAGCACTGTTGATTTTTTGTTTGCTCAATGTATCCGAGAGGTGGGAGAGGTAGGTCAGAATCTCTCACCATAATTATGGATTTGTTATTTCTCCTTTTAGTTTTATGAATTTTACTTTTAATATTTTGAGCCCATGTTATCAGGTGCAAATGTAAGATTGTACCTGGAAAATTGAACCTTTAGCATTATGGAGTAACCTTTCACTATACTGATTTTTTTTTCTTCCTTTGAATCTACTTTGCAGACACTAGCATTCTTTCATTAGTATTTTCAAGGACTATCTTTTTAAATCTAGACTTGTAGTGTTTGTCCTTTATGTAGAGAATTTAGTCCATTTACATTTAATGTCATAATTGATGTATTTGAGTTTAAATCTTCCATCTCATTGCTTTCTGCATGCTCCACATGTTCTGTTGTGTTCCTCTTTCCTTTTTTGCTTCTCTGTATCAAATACCATTATTCCATTTTTTACCCTTTATTAGCTTGTTTTTATACATTCTTTTGCTGATTGTTAAGTGGTTACCCTAAAGATTAAAACCTGAATCTGTGTCTTATTAAAGTCTAAGTTAATACTTCTATTGCTTCCTTGACAATTAGAACTTTAGAACTTTAACTCTCTTACTTATGTGCTCTTATTGTGTACTGTTGTTCTCTCTACGTTTTGAATTTTACAAGATTTTTTTATAGTCAATATTCAGTTGGATTTGTCCAGTTAATTACTTCTTCATTGTTTTTCATTTCTTCCTGCATCTCCATTCTTCCACCTGAGATCATTTGCCTTGGGCCTGAAGAATATCCTTTTTTTCTATTAGTGCCAGATTGCTAATGGTGAATTTTCTGTTTTTGTCTATAACAAAATTTTTTATTTTACTTTCACTTTTGAAAAATATTTTCCTGAGTATTGAATTCTAAATTAGCAGTTTATTTCTTTCAGCCCATTGAAAAGATTCCCTTGTCTTTTGGCTTCCATTTATTGCCCTTATTGCTGATTCTTTGAAAATATTGTATTTTTTTCCTTTAGCTACTAAGACTTTTTTCCCCTTTGGTTACCATCAATTTTAGAATGCTTTGTGTAGGTTTGATTACATTTGTTCTTTTGGCTATTGTGATACTTGAACCTATGACTTGATTTCTTTCATAGGTTTTGGAATATTCTTCATTATTATCTCTACAGATACTCTGTTCCATTCTCCCTTTCCCTCCTGTCTGGTACTCCAGTTACAGATATGCTCATCTTTTTCATTGTATCTTCTTTGCTTCTTTTGTGCTTTGCATTATGTGTGTTTGTGGAAGGAGGGTGTGGGGTGTGACTGTGCTTCGTTCTGGATCTTTTCCAAGTCAGTACTCTTTCTTCAGTTATTTCTACGATATTATTAAATCTGCCTATAGACTTCTTACTTTTAAATATTATATTTTTCAGTTTTAGGGTTTTTATTTGGTTCTTTTATATAGTTTCCAGTTCTCTGCTGAAATTTTCAATCTTATTATTTTTCTTTGAGTATATTCAACAGAATTATTTTAAATAAAGCTGATAACTTCATTATCAGGATTTCTTGGGGGTTGATTTCTACAGGCTGTTTCAGATTTTGATCATATTGTTGTGTTTTCTTATTGTTTTATTATGTGGCAAACATTGTATATTAAAAATGACAGATATACGTAACTTGAGACCTCAGCTGATATTTTCTTCTTCTCAAATGAATTTATGTTTGCTCCTGGCAAATGATTTGTAGCAGTCCCAAATCACCTTAATCCAATTAGGAATTAAGATGATTTGAAGTTGGGCTTCACTCCCTGTAAGAGCCATCCTGTTTCCTAATCATTCCTACCCCTAAAATGTGATCCACGTTCTGGTCTCAAGCTTGGGGAGGGTTGCTAGTGCCTTTCCCTTCTTGGCATGTCCCAAACTCTTAATATTTATTAGAAAAGCAGGGCTCAGGTTCTCAGTATCTACGTTGCCTCGTCTGAAATTAATCAGTGCCCTCTCTGGAATTACCTTCTCCAGAATCGAAGGCTATAATTCTTTACAGCCTTCTTAGCTCTCTGATGCTTTCAAAGAAATGTGGGTTTTTTTCCCAGCGTTTTCAGTTCTCAGCAAGAAGGGTGGTTTGAATTGTCTTGTCTGCCATGTCTAGAAGTGGAATTCCCCATAATATATTTATAGTATTTGCTAATTTTAATCTTTTAATCTCCTACATTTACATAGCATTTAGGAGTTTACAAAGTCCTTTTGTATACATTTTCTCATTTAATAAAGAAGGTATTCCTGTCCCTTTTATACAGATGAGAAAACACTCTCAAAAGAGGGCAGATAACTCAAGCAAATTCACATCAGCCTAATGACTGAACTGTTACTCAAATTTAAATCTCCTAATTCTCAAGCCTCATTTTTACTTTGTGTACCATAGGTGTAAACTTTTGCGTTTTAATGTTAATTGTTCTTATCAAAGAATGTAAATTCATGATTTTGTTTTGCTTTGTTTAAAAATGAGATTCAGCATGATGATCCCACCTTTCCACTGATAGACTCAAGTTCTCAGAACCAGATTAGAAAACGCATCGTACTTGAAAAATTGAGTAAAGTGTAAGTATGTAATTCTCATTCCACTTTTATAATATTTTTAAATTAATTTGGTATTTGTGGGTTCATAATTTATAGGTATTATCCTTGAGTTTTGAACAGTTTGAAAAATACTGTGAAAAGTTTACATGGATTTCTTTACTTGAAAAATTGAGATAATATCCTACCAAGGAAATATTGAAATTAAGTTTTGTGTACAAGACACAGAAGTACATAATAAAGAGGAAGGTTGAGATTATGGGAGTAGAAAACCAAACTATCTCACTTCCACTTTATAATAATCCAGTGAAGTCAGGGAAAAAATATCAAAGCTAGACCCATTTAAATACTGATTTGTGGTAAATGTGTCACATCAGTTTCATATGTGAATAACACTTCATAAAGTTTTAACGGTCTATTAACTCACTCTGTATACATATTCATAGAACCATTTCACACTCAGCAACTTGAGTTTTTTTGGTTCAACTCAACTTTGCACTTTAGTTTTAAGCTTCCCGTGATGGAAATTACAATTCTTGTAATTAGCCCAGTCATAAATGACATTTGAAAATTGCAATCTTGGTTTCTTTTTCTTTCAAAAGGAGCATAAAAATCTTTTTTCCAGCGGTGTGTGAGCTGCCTTAAACTTTTCAACCTGCATTTCTTTCTTTAGCAGAAAACATGGAAAAGTGTTTTTAGTCATTGTTTAAGGTGTTCATATGGAGAGGCCTTAGTTTTGTAGTAGTTCAAAAATGAGAAAAACCCATTTTTTTGGAAGCCATAATATTTTGAGCAGCTTACTCCTCTTAAGTTTTACAATTTAGATAAATCTTTAAATTAATATTTATTGAATGCCTGTTATGTGTTAGGCTCTTCATATATAGTAAATTTGTTATTGGTTTTAGCTTTTATACATTCCTCATACTTGTACATTTGTTTCTGTTAAATATTAGGCTAGAAAACAGTCACCATCAGTGTGATTCATAGGACAAGAAGTTATCAATCCTTGACTTTAATTACTTAGGCTTTCAAAGTGGGGGTGGATTATCTATACTGGTAAGTAATAAGTAGATACGGATTTACCTGAAAACAGTTTTCTAGAACTTTTAGCTAATAAAAGTACCCGATTTTAAATTTAAGACCACATAGACATGTCATTGAAGAAATTCTATTTCTTCTGGGTTTTGGCTGTACCAGAAGATACCAAAAGGACCCCTGCTAGAAAACCAAATTATTGGTATTAATGCAAGAACTAAATTTGAGAAGAGGTGGGATAACTTTAAAAGAAGCACAGGGCTGGCTGAGTGGCACGTTGGTTAAGAACTGGCTTGGGATGCCAGAGGGCCCTGGTTCGGATCCCACATATGAGTGCCAGTGACACTGCCCTTTGCAGCTAAGATGGTGAACGGCTGCTCGACCTGGGGCTGGACTGCTGTGGGTCACTGGCGACGGCGTAGGCTGCAGTCGCCTGCTGCAGTGGGTTGCCATGGGCTACCGTGTGTAGCCAGCAGCCAGCGTGAGCGGCCAGCAGCCGCAGTGAGCGGCCGTCCAGAAGCCGGCGACTGATCTGCCTCGCCCGGGAAGAGCGCAATGATGGTGGCAACTTGGGCCAGTGAAGCAACGTCCTCCACAACTAGACTGAAGAACGAAAGGACAGCAACTTGTCTGTTCCCCTTCCCCAATTCCCCAGTGCTGTTCCCCTCCCCCAATTTCCCAATAAAATCTTTTTAAAAAAAAAGAAGCACAAAGAACATTGAAAACAAAATAATTATGGTGACATAGGGGGGGTTTTTTGGTTGATTGGTTGTTTATGAAAGCAGTTGAGTTTTTTTTCTCATAAAATTAAGACTTTTTGGTTTCTGATTGGAACAAACCAATTGTAAAAGGACTTTTTTTTAGATAATCAAAGCAAATGAAATGTGTACTGGGTATTAGATATTAAGGAATTATTGTTAATTTGGTTAGGTATGACAATTTTATTGTGGTTATATAAGCAAATACCCTTGTATTTATAGATCCCTAAGGAAATATTTAGAGGTTAAGTGATATAATGTCAGGGATCTATTTTAAAATATTACTGCAAAATAAAGAAAGGAAGAAAAAAATGAAGCATACGTAAGAAAATATTGGGAGGATGAATCTGAGAATTATTGCTATTCTCTATTTTGGAACATGTTTGAAACTTTCATAAATTTTAAAAAAGAAAAACAATACATGATTATTGGAGAAGATTGAGGCAGTACAAAATGGTGTAAAGAAGGAAGTGAAAACCACCTGGAATCCCCACAACTCAACAATAACTACAATTAGTATTTTGATGTTTGTCCTTGACCTATATGTGATATATACTCGCATGGTGTATATGTATTCATACCCTTTGGTTCCCTCTGTTATAGTATAAACCTGGAAGGACTGAAACATATTTGTATATACTATGTATTATATGTAATAGCATTATATAATATGTTTTTATAAAATGGGATAATACTACATGTGCATTTTTCACTTAATATCATGAATATCTTTCCACATTAAAAAAATAGATTCATGTTATCATTTTAAAAGTTCTATTATGTTCCATTATATGGGTATATCATAATTTATTTAACCAATCCCCTATTGATTAACATTTGTTTCTATTTTTCACTACTAAAAATATTCTTGCAACAAGCATCTTTTTTATGTTTATATTATGACTTTTATAGGATAAATTTTTTCATAGTAAAACTATTGGGTCAAAGAGTATACACATTTAAAATGTTAATATATATTGTCAACTTGTTCTCTAGAAATGTACTAATTTTTTCTGCCACCATAAGGATTTGATAAGGAGAAATATGCCACACTCCCCAATTTGACTATTTGGGAGCATTTCCTCTGGTCTTGTTTTCTTTCCATTTGGTCTAATATTTGAAAGTAAAGAGGTAGGAAAAACTAGAGATAAGAGTATAGATAGCAGCCAAAATACCATTTTTATATTTCAGAGCCTCTGTAACAGAGACTAAAGTGGAATATGGGTTTATTAGGAAATATTTCCTGATGACTTCTCACCAGTCATAACCTAGTTTAACTGTCTCCATCTAAGTGCTATTATTACCTATGGAAAATCCAGACTTAGGCAAGACCCAAAAATGTATCTATATAATTAAATTATATTTTTAAAGAAATATAATTTTTTATTTTCAGTTTGCCTGGACTTCTGGGACCTCTTCAGATTACATTAGGAGATATTTACACACAACTTAAAAATCTCGTCCGAACTTTCAGGTTGGTGTTAATATTATGATTTTCCTTCTCAGTTATTTTGACTTGAATGTGATTGCCTGGAAGATTCTATAGATAGACTAAGGCATGAAGAAACTAAGTGACTTACTTTCAGTGTTTTAGATCTAAATGACGTGTTCTATTTGCTCCTCCATTAAACATTACTTCTGTCTTTTGTTAAATGCAATCCCTTCTGTATTCAAACCTTGATATGTTTAGCTTTAGGTAGTTTATTTATAGAATAGCCCAAAACTAAGAAGGAAAATTATATTGAGACACAAAAATAGTTAGCCAGGAACATCTTGGATCTTAGTGATTAGTAAATCTATAGCAGATGACTAGCACTGTGCTAGGTACCATAGGCAGTACAAAAGAAGCAGTATGCCCACCCTTGAGGAAGAACTCTCCTGTGAGAAGATAAGGTGAACACAGTGAACAATATAAAACAATGGGAAATTTAATATTGAATTATTTGGAACAGATTTGAAATAATAAGTACAAAGAAAGGAAGACTAGAGAATATCAATTGAAGTAGAACAGTTGGGATTTTTCTAAAACTATCAAGGTAAAAATATTCAACCAGGCAAAGACTAGATTCTCTCCCAAGAAGCATAGGAATAGGCCTCTACATACTTAGTAAGAGAGGTGTACCAAATACACATTTTGGCCAGATGCCAATGATTAAATATTAATATTTGCCTATGGCTAAGATAGCACCAACACAGAATAAACTTCTAGGGTAGAAGAACCATTGCATCCCCAAAGTTAATTATTATGGTTTTATTGTCAAGAGCAGTAATAAGATGTTTAAAAGTTTAAAATTATAGTACAGGAACAATTTCTTGGCACTGTCAGCTGTTAGATTTCTCTTGCAGTCACTGTGCTGTATATTGGTAATACTAAATAGACATTAACTTTCAACCAGCACATTTAAAATATCACTAACCTTTTCGTGTGTCACAGAGTAGTTCAGGAAAACATTTTTCAATAAGGTATTTACTAGAAGGAACTAGGATTCATAGGTTAAGCAAATCTTAAAAATTCTTCATCTTCAGATTCTGAAAAGAATCACGTGTAACACTTTACGTTTAAATATTTAGGCTTCATAGACTCTAGATTATAGGAGTTGTCTTAAGACAGCCTTGTAGAGTCTTTGTTGTGAGGTTTGACTAAACAAAATATGTTTGGGATACCTCAAATTTCTCTAACAGTTTTGTCTTAACATTTTTTATTATTTTGATATGAGATTATATTTGGATTATTGTACACCCGTTGTTTACATAATTTAGATATATTTCCAACACATGATATTTTGAGGTCACATTGTTTTTAATTCATCATCACAAGATGTGAAGAATCCCCCAGTAGGACTTTTTCCTTCAAAGACTTATAATTTAAATGGAATTAACTAACTAAAATGTAAATACAGCTCTCAAAGGTTATTTTCTTTAATGTTTTAAATACCAGTACATAATACAGTTGTGCAAAGATTGAATTATGATAAAATCTAATCATTATTATTACATTATTTGAATTTTTATAAACATTTTTCTCTAAGATAATGTTCTTGAGAAAGTAATCTAATACATTCAATAGTTTTTATTAACTGTCAGTAGTTTTCTAAATAATTGGAAATTTTTACTATTTGTTTTATACATAAAATTAAGTTTTCACAAATATCATTAATTCCTGTAGCATATTATTCTAATGACTGATAAAATAAAAAGACATTTTCACTTCATTTCATCTAGAATGTTTATATTTGAAAGTACATGTTCAGGTAATAACAGTAAATCTGAATTACTGAGATTGTTACACTCATTAGATACCATGGAAGCTATGCAATCACAAGATCATTGATCACATACAGGTTTAGGAATGCCAGAAGTGATGCTCAGATTGGCGTCCGCCTTTGGAAGACTGACTAAATGCTTTGCAAAAAGTGAGTTTAGGCAATTACCAAGACCAAAGTTGAACCCTGCATTCCTTTTAGTGATGAAGAGAGAGACACTTGTTTTTTTCAGGTGTTCTCTTATACCAATCACAGAATCATGCATCCAAAAGAAAAAAAAGTATTTTTCAACTGTCTACATTGATGAAACAGTTTGAATAGATATATATTGGGTCGTCGGGAAAGTCATGAGGCATTGTTGCATTGAAAAACATAGAAAAATACGTCATGACTTTCCCGACCACCCAATACAATGTGGAAGCCCTGAAGTTTAGGGTTTGTTCAGGGTTTTTCAGGATGTGAATATCATATTAGCAGAAAGGTTAGCTGAGGGAAAATGAAGACTAGGTGCTGCCCTGTTTCACTGATTTTTAAAGAACTTCCCATACAGTTGCAGACAGTGTTCATTTAATCATTCTGAGCAAACTGGTAAAGCCACTGAAGACATACCAGACGAGAGGTTAGAATAAGACCTTTCATCTTGAAATACAAATATGAATTTTGTACTTCATTTTTTATTCCACTCATTTAGAATAGATTAGCAATTTAATTTACTTTGGCTATATTTTCTAGAGCTATTTTTCTATAGATCTAATTGGATATCTTCTATTTTTTTTTAATAAAGATTTTTATTGGGGGATGGGAACAGCACTGAGGAATTGGGGGAAGGGGAACAGACAAGTTGCTGTCCTTTTGGTCTTCAGTCTAGTTGTGGAGGATGTTGCTTCACTGGCCTAAGCTGGCACCATCATTGCGCTCTTCCCAGGCGAGGCATATCAGTCGCCGGCATCTGGACAGCTGCTCACAGTGGCTGCTGGCTGCTCACGCTGGCTGCTGGCTACACATGGTAGCCTGTGGCAACCCACTGCAGCCTACGCCGTCGCTGGCGACTCATGGCAGCCCAGCTCCAGGTTGAGCTGTTGTTCAGCATCTTAGCTGTAGAGGCTACAGCTCATATGTGGGATCCGAACCGGGCCCCTCTGGCATTCCAAGCCAGCTCTTAACCAACACGCCACTCGGCCCGCCCTCTTCTATTTTTTTAAAACTATTCTGAGGTTCTCAGAATTTACTATTGGAAAGAAATGTTAGGCTAAACTGCAAGATTGCCCCATTATTACTTTCGTTTCCCTAGGAATTTAGGTATTTCCAGTTGGAAACTACTGTCTAGGCTGTTATTTTTGATCTTTTGCTAATAATGTTTGGTCCATGTCTGTACATATAGTCATTACAGCACTCACTGTGTGCCAGGTTGTACTTGGCACTTTACGTATATTATCTCATTTACTATCCAGAAAACAGTGGGATTATTTTTTTACAGATGAGGGATGAGGGATTCTGTAATCTCTCAAATCACAGAACTAGTAGTTGGATTTAGACCCTAAATTTAAGCCAAGAGGATAGATCTTAAGTGTTCTCACCATAAAAAAGAAAAAAAATTATAACTATATGTGAGGTGATGGATATGTTAATTAGCTTGACTGTAATGATCATTTCACAAAATATACATATATCAAAATATCAAGTTGTACACCTTAAATATATGCAGTTACTATGTGTCAGTTATACCTCAGTAGAACTGCAAAAAATAATCTACCATTTGTTGTCTCAGTAGTCATTAGTATCAAAGATGTAAAAAAAATATGTCATTTTAGTTATCACCTCTCTAGACCCCAAGTAAGAACTCTACTTAAGAGGGCTTCACTTACCTATGAAACTGAACGCCTCTGTGATACCTAAGGTAGCCAAAACAAGAAGCAGTGTTCATCAGTCCTTAAGAGGTAGCTAACAGACTACAGATGTAAGGAGACTTTCAAATGCCATTTTCCTTTTATATTTATAAACTATTATTTTATCACCTTTTTCTATCATTCCCATCGTGTAAGTCCTTTCCAGTTACTTTCTGCATTATTTACATTAAATTAAAATAAAGCCTAGACAAAACCATATGATGCCTGGGATTTGCTTCAAAATTATTCAGGTTAGGGTGATGTTGAATATGGATTGTATAGATAAAGCATGATTGGCCAGGAGTTGATCATTGTTAAAGTTGTGATGAGTATCTCTCTACTTTTCTGTATGTTTTAAATTTAATAAAAAGTTTGGGGAAAATATACCTCAAAAATATGCATTATTGTGGTATAGGGGATGTTATAAAAACCATGATGTTAATTTATTTTTGAAATCCTTACTCTTTAGTACCTGCAGGTCAAAATGTGTATAGCTTTAATGAAAATTGCTTAAATTGGCTTTGCTGCTTTTTAGAAAAATGTCAATTATGTAAAGTACGGAACGACCTCTGGTAAGATAACTCATTTGGGGTCTTCAGAGTCTAGCAGGACAACTTCAGTAAGTATGTGACTATTTGTAGGCTAGGGCTTCTAAGTTAAGTCTGAAAAAAATGCCATATTGATGACAGTGACTAGTGTTGAGAAATCTTTTCAATCAACACTGGCAGTGGAAAAGAGTTGACATAAATAACCATATATTTCTCTTTGAAATGATAATCAATAATAGGAACTTGTAGAACAGTGATTCTTAAGCCAGTTTTGCATCAGAATTACCTGGGGAGCTTTTAACTACTACAGATGCCTGGCCCCACCCCCAGAGATTGAGTTTCATTTGATTAGGGTTGGGCCTAGACATTAGTATTTTTTAAAAGCCTCCCAGGTGATTCTTATGTGCAACCAGAGTTGAAAGCCAGTTAGAACTTAAACGTAAAGTAGCTTTTCAACTCTGAAGAATCTTTCCCCAGTGAATAGAGCTGTCCTTTCCACTGCATTGCATCACAGTCATTTATCCAGAATGTTACATTGATTTACGTGTCATAGTTGTTCCATTGGAAGTTACTTGGTAATTATTTACTGTCCTCAGTGTTGAATCAAGATACTTTTCGAAATCTAATTTGAATTAACATTGTATTTTGACACAAAAGTCCTTTTAAAAATTTCATCAGTGATGAATAAAGGCATTTTTTCTGTATTGAATTTCAAATTATATTTTGAAACTGTACTTTTTAAATGCTTTCTATCAAATATTTTTATATTTATTTTTGAATTATCACTCAGGACAATAGTAAACATACTCATTTGGCATCTGTGCTTGAAATTATTTTGACTCAGCAAAAGGAAAAATATGAGAGCAAGTACAATTTTGCTAGTCTGCCACTAGAGGTACTTTGAAGTGAAAGCAAAGATTTTGTCGTTTTAAAATATAGTATATGTATTATTATTATTATGTGGTGATATGCCCTTTCCCCTTTTCCAGTTCATTCTCCTCCTTTTCTCCCCATAAGCAGGGAAAGGGGTAGTACTGAGGAGGGAGGAAGTTGTGATTTTAAATAGGCTCGCCAGGGAAGACTATTGAGAAGATGCCATGTATATAAAGATCTAAGAGTTGGTGAGGGAGCAAGCCATATTGCTCTCTGAAAACAGACAAGTAACAGCAGGTGCAAAGGCTCTGGAGCCAGAGTAGGCCTGATGAAGTCACAGAACATTAAGGATGTTGGTGAGGCTGCAGAAATGAGCAGAGGCAAAGGTACAAAGATACAGGGTCAGAGAAGTATAGGACGGGGAGTGGGTATGGTGCAGATTATATAGGCCTTGTAGCCATGGTCCTCCTTTCACTTTTGCTCTAAGATGGAGAGCAACTGGTGGATTCTGAACAGAGGAATGACATGATCTGACATACATTTTTAACAGCATCACTCTAGCTGATGAGAATTATAATAGATGGGCAGAGGCAGGAAGACCATTTAGGATGCTGTTTTGGCAATCTAGGCAAGAAATGACGTGGACCAAGGTGAAAGCAGTGGAAGTAACAAGAAGTTACTTTCTTTATCTTTAAAAGAGTCTCTTTTAAAGATAGAACCATCAAAATTTGATGACTGGTTGGTCATGGGACAGGCAGACAGTCAAGGTTAACCACAGATTTTTGGCCTGAGCAACTGGATTCTAGAAGAAGTGGGTAGCCATTTACTGATATGGAGCTATCTGCAGGAGGACCCATTTGAGACAGGGAAGATGAGGCACTCAATTTTCACTATACTAATTTTCACTGTTTTGGGATGTCTATTATACATTCAAGTGGAAGTGTCAAGTAAACCATTAGATATAGAAGTCTAGAATTCAAGAAAGTGGTCCAGGCTAGAGATAATAAATTTGAGAGTTGTCAGCAAATAAATATAGTTATCTATATTTAAAGCTATGAGATTGGATGACATCACGAGGGAATGAACATTTGTAGAGGAGATGAGAGACTCAAGGGCAAAGGCTCTGGGGCAATCCAAAATAAAAAGGCCTGAGAAGGAATGCCAGTGAGAGTGGGAAATCAGGCAAGTGGCAACCAGGTGAAGGAAGTGTTCCAGGGAGAAGGGAGTGATGAACTGTGTCAAATGCTGCTGGTAGCTTAACCCTCCGTCGGGTGCAGTGGATCTCACAGATTCATTGTACACAAATTTTCAAATATTTAACAGTTAAGTATCGTTACTCATCGCTTCCGTATATTCTCCCTCTACCTTAACCTATCACCAGTCGTGTTTGTTACTTAGTACAATAAAGACGTATTTCATAGCATCATCTTTGTGTGCAATGAATCTGTGAGATCAGTTGCGCCCAATGGCGAGTTAAGATGAGGGCTGAGAAATGTCTGTTGAATTTGGCAACACAGACATCTTTTTACATTTAATCCTTATGAGAGCTCTATAAGGCAGGTAGTAAGTACTGTTGTTCCTGTTTTACTAAATTACAAAAAAAAAGTTTTACAACAGTTGAATGTGTCCAAAGTAAAACACTACTAAGTGACAGATATAAGTACTGAACCCATGTCTGTCAAACTTGAACTTATACTGTACCTCCTTTTTATATAATCTAGACGTTAAAAAATTTTGTAAAACATTTTAACTACAGAAAAAATTCAGATTGACAAAGATACACGTTTTCCACTCAGAATTAATAGATTTTAATATTTTGTAATATTTGATTCAGATGTGCATTTTTTAAGTTAATTCATTCATTTAGAAAACATTAATGCCTGCTGTCATGCACTTGTTCTGAGTACTTGCAATAAATAGGTGAAGAACATAAAGATTCCTGTCCTTAGGGAAAACAGATAATAAAAAATAATTACATGTTAGAGATAAGTGGTACAGGGGGAAAAAAAAACTATATAGAGGATAAGGAAGTCAGAAATTTGGAGCTAGGAAGTGGAGAGAAGTTTTCACTTTTTACTAGGGTTGTCCAGATGGGCCTTAATGCAAAGAAAACTTATGTGGGGAAAGAGAGTTTCTGGCAGATGAAATAGCCAGTGCGAAAGTGCCCTTTGTTCTGTTTCCTAATCCATTCTTTCCTTCCCAGAAGCAATCAGTACTGTCAATTTGATGTGTATCTTTCCAGTCTTTATTTTTATACTGTTACTACATTTATGTGTCTATAAATAATACTAAGTATTGTCTGTTCTTGATTTATATAAATAATATGATACTGTACTTTTTTTTCAAATTATGATATGTAAGTCTAGTTCATTCATTTTGACAGCTATTTAACGTTCTTTGAAAGCATTGTTGCACTATCTTCATGCACATTTCCTTATTCATAAGTGATTCTCTGCTCTGTCTTTTTACCTACCCCACCATCCCCCTCACCCCCTACCCCGCCACTCCTGGCAACCGCTGATCTTTTTACTATCTTCATAGTTTTACCTTTTCAAGAATGTCATATATCATATAGTTAGAATCATAGAGTATATAGCCTTTTCAGGCTGGCTTCTTTCACTTTGGTAATACGCATATAAAGTACCCCAATGTCTTTTCATGGCATGATAGCTCATTTCTTTTTACAGCTGAACAATTATCCATTGCCTGGCTGTGCCACAATTTATTTATCCATTCACCTACTGAAGGACAACTTGGTTGCTTCCAAGTTTTGGCAGTTATGAATACAGCTTCTATAAGCATTTGCGTGCAGGTGTTTCTGTGGCCATAAGTTTTTTACTCCTTTGGGTAAATACCTAGGAGCATGATTGCTGGATTGTATGGTAGGAGTATGTTCCGTTTTGGGAAAAACTGCCAAACTGTCTTCCAAAGTGACTGTACTACTTTGCATTCCACCAGTAATGAATGGGAGTTCCTATTGCTCCACATCCTTGTCAACATTTGGCTTTGTCAGTGTTCAGAATTTGGGCCATTCTTAATAGGTGTGCAGTGGTATCTTGCTCTTTTAAATTGCATTTCTCTGGTGACATATGATGTGGAGCATCCTTTCATTTGCTTATTTGTCATTTGTTTATCTTTGGTGAGGTAGCTATTAAGGTGTTTGGCCCATTTTTCAAATTAGGCAGTTTGTTTTCCCGTTGTTAAATTTTAAAAAGTCCTTTGTATATTTTGGGTAACAGCCCTTTGTCAGATGTTATTGGTTGTTTTTTTTCTTATTGATTGATACTATTTTTCATTTAGAGTGATTTTTCTAAATGCTTTCTGATTACAATGTATTTTGATTTCATCAACTGCTAAGTGGTAGAATTTACTACTGATTTTTTAAAAACAAGTTTTCTTGATAAAAACATCTTAAAATTTATTAAAATCTCATTTCTGTAAATTATGTATTATGACATTCCTTAATTGCCTGCTGCCAACCTAAGATAAAATTAAAATCAGAAATTGTTTATCTTGTTAGGTTTAATAAAAAGTTTGATAGGGGAAAACATAGAACATATGGTTACAGTAAGGTATGTACATGTGTATATTTTAATAAACTGTGCACTTTAGTTTCCCATATTGTTCCTATATTTCCATTTTGTCTAATAGTAATATTGTTATAAATATAAAAAATGGGGCTGGAGCACTTTTGAGATGATCATTATCAGATGAATATCAAACTACATTATACTCTCCTATCAAATATAACAAGAATAAAAGATAGTGCTCTTTGACTCATGATGTCATAAATGACTTTTCTAAAAATAGAAGGTTTATGTATTTAAATGTAACAATCCTTTGGTAAATTTTATCTTAACTGTCTTTCAGATTAACAAATAGAAATATTATACACAAACCTGCAGAATGGACTTTAATTGCTGTGGTGTTGCTGTCATTGTAAGTACACTTTCAGATTTTAACTAAATACTAAATATGAAGAATTTTGATTAGGAAAATACAAACTTGTTGGTTGATTTTGTAAACATCCTTGGGAAATGTTGTACCTCTATTTTGTGCCTTATTTTTCTTAATTTTATGACAATAACTTTTACATAAAGTAATATGTTTTCAAAAGCTGTAATTATTCTCTTTATATTTTCTACTATTATTTCTTCTGAGGGGCTTTTTGTTTGCAAGTGTTACTTATCTTTTGAAAGAGAAGAACATCCCCATGTGGAATACATACAAAATAGTCCTTTAATTTCACTTTTAACATCGAATGGGCCTCATTATTTTAAATCTGTATTTTTACCAACATATCTAATGCTATTTCATTTTTCTTCAACATATTTTATTAATAGCATCAGAAAAGTTTTATCTTCCAAATTATATCTTTAAAATCAAACAGATTTAAGGGAACTAAAGTAGATACTACACAAACAAGAAGATATAAAACATTTAATACTCATTCACCTTTTAAGAAATCACTAGGGGTTTCTATGGATGTTTTCAATAGGGTTAAAACCATCTAGTAAGTGTAGTGTTTTTCAGCTTGAATTGCAAAAGTCTTCTTTTGAAGACCATTCATTACTGCATTACTGTTGCTACTTGGTACTTGTTAGGTCATTGAAGCCCAGAGGACATTGAATACGTACTGGACACTCACAGGTCAAAAAGTGTCATGAGCCAACCTCATAGCATCTCCAGCCCTGCTTTCTCTTTCTTTGATATTACTTTAGTTTGACATGTTATTCTGGATTTACCATCCCAAGGAAGGCCATGCTGGGAGGCATTAGAGTAGGCTTCAGTGACCCAGCATTTGTGTTACCCAAGCAGATACAACTCATATGATTCATTAAATCAGAACACAGAAAATAACTTTACTTGAATGCCCTGATATAAATTTTTTATCAACCATAAGAACAAATCTTTTATCATTTCTACTATTCAGTGTTCCAGTTGAATTGGTTATTTGTGAAACAGATCTTATTAATTTTTTAGAAAGTTTTTTCATTTTATGAAATTCGTAAATATTTTTGGTCACTGGCAAAAAAAAAAAAAATCAGTATCTCTGCTCACCCACCATATCCTATGCCTGCTAATGAACCCTCATAGATAACTGTTTAACTGTACTTCTGCAATTCATTGTACTAAAGAGGAAGTAACTTTTTTGGTTGATAAGTCAGAGGCCTAGGCCCAGCAATAATCTCAGAATCTTGCTTTCTAAGCCAGTAACTGGAAGTATTATCTTAATGAGCAGCTGCTTACTGATGACACATGTTAGGTCCTACTTTTTTTAGTATCAGGCTCTTGCTACATCTTCTCCCAAATATATAACAAGAAACAAAAAAGTATGGAAAATGAAATAATAAAGGCTGCCATAAAATTTCATATGGTTTTTCCATAAAATATAAACTTCTAGTGTTTGTTTGTTTTTGTTTTTGTTTTTTATTTTATTGAGGAATTGGGGGAGGGGAACAGCGTTGGGGAATTGGGGAAGGGGAACAGACAAGTTGCTGCCCTTTTTTTGTTCTTCAGTCTAGTTGTGGAGGATGTCGCTTCACTGGTCCATGTTGGTATTATCATTGCGCTGTTCCTGGGTGAGGCAGTCGCTCGCTGGCCATTGAACGGCTGCTCATGAAAGCGCACGCCAGCTGCCGGCCAGCCCCACTGCAGCCTGCGCCGTTGTCGCCAGCCCAATTCCAGGTGGAGCTGTTGTTCACCATCTTAGCTGTAGAGGGTGCAGCATCACTGGCCCTCATATAGGATCCAAACCAGGGCCCTGCTGCTCAGAGCTGGCGTCCCAAAACAACTCTTAACCAACGTGCCACTCGGCCGGCCCTCTAGTGTTTGATTTTAATAGAGGCACCCATGTGGCACAAGATACTGAAAGCATTGCTAGTCCTTTTTAGGCACTGTTTGACTTTCCTAACTTTGGATGTAATGTAGGGAACCTCTTATTCAAAGGTCAGTGACCCATAAAAGTAGTAACTTAATTCAAGAGCCAGACTGCACATATCCTAGGTGTATTGCATGTTTCACACTGTGCAATCAGTCTTGAGGTTTGTAGCAGCAAACACTGTTTCCTTTTGTTATTTGCCTTGAATCTTTTCATTATCCCCTTCAGCTAGATCTACCCATCTCTCTCCTAGCCCTTGGTCCTTTTGATCTCTGGACAGTTAAAATTCTTCTAGTTAGTGTCCTTTTGGCTTTTAAAAACACCCTGATTCACTGTAGACACAACATCAGCTGGTATTTCCTTGGTTTTGCCTTTCAAATCTTGTTTTCTTAATAATTCTAACTTTTGCCATAGGCCTTCCTTATATATTGTCACTGATCCTTTCCATTCTGCACTTGCACATTCTTTGTCTTCATTAGCTGACTCTGCTTACTCTTTGGTCATCAGACTTCTGTCTCCTGCCCCCATATTATTTTATTTCTTATTTCCTCTTTTCTCAGAAAGTCCCCTTTGGCTTTTCTGCCCCCTTCCGCTACTCCCCAGGGAATCCATGGCTCAACAAATAGCCCCTTTCATTCTCAGCTTTAACTTTTTTATCACCCTTTTAGAATAAATATTACTATATGAGATAGGGATAAAATTAAAATACATGTTCATCATATTAAAACTAATCCTATTGACTTCTGTAAAGTATAAATATACTTTTTATTTGTACCCCTCTTTCCTCACATTCACAGTTCACAATTACTTTTTAGAGAAGGCACTTTGTCATTAGGGAAAGGAAAAGCAGGCATAAGGGCCACCATTGGATAAAGAACCTTAACCACAGTGAAAAAAATATAGAGATTTTGGGTACCCAAAGAGAACACAGAAAGGAGATAATACACTCATACATATTTGTGGAGCAGTAACCCAGTCATTCAGCCTTTTAATTTATTGCCTCTGAGATTGAACATAGGCATTCAAGGAATTATCTCTTTTTAAAAAATAATTACCTTATAATTCAGAAAACCTTTGCATCTACTATCAAATTTCCAAAGGAATTTTTCTAGTCATTACTGATAGACATTTCTGGAATTTATTTTTTAAAATATTTTTAAAATATTTCTTAAAAGTCTTTATAGCTAGGAAAAAGATTCTGAATGGCAGTTTTAGTCACTGAATATGAATATTGTAAGATAATATCCAGTATTATAACAGTAGTAATATTGTTAGTGTATGAATATAACAACCTTTTGTTATTACTAACATTTGTTTAATAATGCATGAAAGCTGTTTTCAAAATTCCTCATGAGAACTTATGAAAGGATACATATACACGTATATAATTTTATTAGTATGTTACTATACTGGTTCAAGTCTAACCCTTGTTAGAGGGGGAAAAAATCAACATTTTGAGCAAAACATGGTAGTCCAGAAGAAAGATGGAAAGCTGGGTGTTGAAATTTCACATCTCTATTCTTAAATGTAAATAAGGTGTTTGTGTAGCAGATCATCTTTTCCTGGTAACTTCCCTTGTACTTTTCGCAGATATATTAACATTAAAACAATTTGAAACACAACATATAATTTTAGTGTGATGAGAAGGTTATACCCATATAATCTCAGAAAGAAATTGATCAAATCGAATGGGTGTGTTTGATCTTTGCACACTTAATAAAATGCATCTATATATAAAAATATATCATGGGGCCAGCCGAGTGACGCGATGGTTAAGAGCTGGCTTGGGACGCCAGAGGGCCCCGGTTCGGATCCCACATATGAGAGCCAGTGACACTGCCCTCTACAGCTAAGATGCTGAACAACAGCTCAATCTGGAGCTGGGCTGCCGTGAGTCACTGGTGACACCGTAGGCTGCAGCCCCTGCTGCAGTGAGTTGCCATGGGCTACCGTGTATAGCCAGCAGCCAGCGTGAGCGACCAGCAGCCAGTGTGAGTGGCCAGCAGCTGCCGTGAGCGGCCGTCCAGAGGCCGGCGACTGATGTGCCTCGCCCGGGAAGAGCGCAATGATGGTGCCAACTTGGGCCAGTGAAGCAACGCCTTCCACAACTAGACTGAAGAACGAAAGGACAGCAACTTGTCTGTTCCCCTTCCGCCAATTCCCCAATGCTGTTCCCATCCCCCCAATTCCCCAATAAAAAACTTAAAAAATAAATAAATAAAAAATAAAAATACATATGACCCATTTCCACTTTATTTAGATTTCTCACTACTTCCATAGGACTTGAATGGCCAGTGTGACTGCAACGTTTTTTGACATTTATACTATGTATTCAGACCCTAGTTACCAGGAGCACAGGGAAAGACCTTTTAAAAGCAGAGCTTAAGCAGTATATATTTATTTAACAGTGAAGGAATTAATGTCTCTTTCGTCTGTCATTTTTATTTAACAATAGCTATAATTAACAAAGATTCTAAAAAACTCCTTATACGTAGAAGGACATCTATAATAGTGATCATTGACCCAGTTTCTTTGTTTTTTAATAGTTGATTAGAAATGCAATAAACTAACCTGGTAATTGGTGTTGTTGCTTAAGCACTTGGTTATAGTAATTATATATCTTTTGAGCTTTATCAGACTTTGTTCTTACATACTATACGTTGAAATAACACAAAGCCAAATCTGATTTTCCCACATAAATAATGCTCTAATAGGATATTAGGTTTTCACAGTCTTTTTTTTTTTTTTTTAATACCAAAGACAACTTTTTTTTTAAAGATTTTTATTGGGGAATTGGGGGATGGGAACAGTGCTGGGGAATTGGGGGAACGGGAACAGACAAGTTGCTGTCGTTTTGGTCTTCAGTCTAGTGGAGGACGTTGCTTCACTGGCCCAAGTTGGCACCATCATTGCGCTCTTCCCAAGTGAGGCAGATCAGTCACCGGCTTCTGGACAGCCGCTCACGCTGGCTGCTGGCTACACATGGTAGCCCATGGCAACCCATTGTAGCAGGGGCTGCAGCCTACTCCGTCGCCGGCAACTCACAGCAGCCCAGCTC